AAAAAAAAATTGAGTTTAACATCCACAAATAGCTCAATAATACATAGGGAGAGACTGGAGAAGAAGATGTCATTTCTCACAATGTCAATGGTTGCAATTGAACGGTTTTGCTTCAGAGCATCTGCAACCTTTTCAGCTCCCTGAACCCATTGATAATTATTAAGATAGAGACCAGAGCATAAAGAAACATGGTTATAAATTTTGATGTGTAACCTCATCGCCTATATCATTCATGTAAAGGTTCAACCAAACCAAGCTCTTGCTTCTTTTGATGTATTCCGCTACATAGAAGGCACCCTTTGCGGTGATGGAGTTGTTACCGAGGTCAAGCAGAGCCAGTTTCCCTGCACACAGGTAGAGGTAAGAAATAGTTAATCTTTGACATATGAAGAGTGTTCTATTAAACCAGCTGAAACAAAAAAAAAAAACCTTTGTGGGAAGATAGACCAGCCATCAAAGCACGAATCCCTTCATCTCCAATGGAGTTTCCATGCAAATGAAGTTCCTGCAGAGTAGAATGGCAATGGCTTTAACAAACTAACTCTTTGTTTCTCGTTATATACAAATGGCATAACTACAAGTATAATTACAAGTAGTGCAGCTAACTAAAGCGATCGAATATAATGTAAAATACAGAAATAGAAATTCAAGAGTAAAAAAATAAAAGGAGAAGACTTTAGTACCTATGATCTCGTCATCATGACAAAGCTGAGTAACCAATGTGGTTTTCCCGCACCCCGGTGGAGCAGAGACCACGAGACTAACCACTGAATCATCATCAAAGAGCTTCTTCTTTCCCTCAATTAATGGCAAATCCAAACCAAAGAGAACCTTATCAAGCTTTGGGACTGAACAAAGATCCATATAAACAGGAGGAGAAACATTCAAGTTTCATCTTATCCACGGGCAGCATGTCAGACGGCCTGGGTTATCTACAAAGCACAAACACCAACACTTTCAAAATNTAGTTCCCATAAAGTTTTAAACTTTACAAAGATTTAAACCTAAGCAAAGAAGATAAAAGAAGCCATACAATGCACAAGCGAAGAAGACGATGAACAAGATGCGTAATTCCTAGCGAATCTCTTGACATTCTCATGAGTCCTCATCCTCGCCTGCTGAGAAGACGCCGGGAACGAGTAAGAGTCACACGCCTCGAAGAGGGGGGTGAAGAAGAAGAAGAGGAGAAAGAGGTGAAGGAGGAGGATGAAGAAGTGGAAAAGCAGAGTGTTGATGTAAAAGAGATGAACTTTACGAAGCAGAGTAGTGATAACAACAGAGTTGAAAGTCAATTTCACAACAGAACCGTTCCATTGCCGCCGTCGCCGCCGGTGATCAAAAGGGCAGCTTCCGTTTACTCCGTCCCACCAAGTAAAGATGAGCATCATTGATGGGAATATGAATAGTACTGTTGGCAAAGATTGGAAACTCACCGGAGAGATCGTCTCGTTCGTGCATCGCCGGAGAACTCATCAACATCGTCAGATTAAGCCGGAGAACTCGTCATCATCTTCAAAGCTCGCCGGAAAACTCGTCACAATCGTCGAATCTGTCAGATTATTGGATGTCGAGGGGAAAAAGACAACAGTTTTAGGTTTTACTACTTAGGGGTATAATTGTATTTTGCTTATTAAAAATTTAGTGGTAAAGTTGATTAATGTATAAATGAAAAATGGTATTAGGAAAGTGGTATTTGTTACAATTTCCCTTTATTTTTCATCACTCGAACACTGAAAAGTGAAAAGATATATGAAAACAGATCCATTAAATTCTAAGATTTGATCTACATTTCTAATTAAAATTGTTTCTGATCCTACGTATAGATAATTATATAAAAATTTCAAAATTCTTAAATTTCAAATACATACAAAAATAATCATATGTAAATACTAAAATTTTATATTTTAATTACATATATTCACCCTGCGCAAGGCGCATGTCTTATCCTAGTTTATCTTTATAATGGATCTAGCATTTAGTTATATGTTATAGTATATAATCTTTATTATTAAAACAGAAACGTTTTGATACATCTAACATTTAGTCATATATTATACTATATAAAATGTCACTAATAATTAATGAAAATACTAGAACTTCACTACCATAATAATAGTACTAGATATTTTCCAAGCAACTCAATAATTAAATTTGAGTCACGACAATATAAAACATTTAATCCCAATTTTTAATATTTATTTAGTAATTGTTTTTTTCAAATTCTTTAATAAATATAGCTTATTAAAATAGAAAATTTTTAATGGGTCAGACATTTAGTCATATGCATTATTATATAACCTCTATTACAAAATATAAACATTTTAATGGTCCTAACCTTTAGTCAAATCTTATATTATATAAAATACCATTAATAATAACTGAAGACACTGTAACTTCATTAAGATATTTGTAGAAACAGCATCAGATATGTTTCCAAATAAGTCAACGATTAAATTTGACTCCATGTAATATAAAACAATATATTTCATTTTAAAAATATTTGTTTCTTAATTTTATCTTAAATTATTTGATAAGTCAAATAATTAACTAAACACTCAAATAATTTATGGAAAATGTATAACATTATATTAATATTTTCTTAGATGAAAAATAATATATGTGAATACAATGTGATTTCGTTAAAAAAAATCATAAAGAAAATCTTGATACGAAAAAAATATTATTTCCTTTAAAATCTAATTTTAAACAATATAATATATATATATATATATATTTCAAAGTAATAGAACTTTTTATTTATATCTATGTATTTTATTCATAGCTATATATTTTCTTTCATGATTACATAAAATAATTTAATACTATAAACCGATATACATCTAACTGACTAAAAATAATTTATAGTTAGTATTATTAATGTTTTTCATACTCTTTAGATGACTATAACGTCTTAGATTTACAACAAAAATAAGTATATAATCAAAATAGTCTGATTTCTCAAAAACAATTATATGAGGTAGATTTGTTATATTTTATCATTATCAAAATTCATTTTTAATGTTTAGTTTACTTTTTCATTTTATGTTCTTGGAACTTGATTACTATAATCAAAATAGCCTATCAAATTCTATTTTTTTAGTTGAAATTTTCAGTTTACCTTTCCATAGATCTAAAGCATAAAAGTTTTTTGAAGTTATCAAATATTTATTAATTAATGTATATAAAAAATAAATTATTTAGTTATCCTTATGTATGTAATTTCCAACTATCGTCGCTTTATTTTAATATTTTCAAAATTTAAACATATAATTAAATAAATGTAATGAAAATACATGCACATTTGGTCAATAAATAAAAATAATTTGATTTGACTTAATTAAAATCAAAAACTAATTTTATACTTCTGTTTAAATTTGTAAAAATGTATGTAACTGAATATACTCACAACATGAGTGACTCAACTAATCCAACTTATTTCCAAAATGAAAGGTCTAACTATAATAAGAATATATACGTTTATAATATTCTATTTATTTTTATATGTATAAATTACAGGGAGACTCAAAACATATTAATAAAGAAAAAGATATATTAACAAATTGTATATTTTTGTAAAATTTATCTACTATGCATGAGATTTGAGAATAATATCACTGTGTGATTTTAAATCAAACACTTCAATTTATTTTTATTCCATTCTAAGTACAATATATATTACGTTAGACATAATTTTACTAAAATATATTTACATATCTAAAGCAACATTATACCTAAATGAGAAAAAAATTTAATCAAAATTTACCTAGGAAAGAATCAAACTGAATAAATATAATATATCCAAAATAAAATAAATAATTAAAATAATATAATATTATTAAAATACAATTATTCTGATATATTTAATTTATAAATACTTATTTTTGTGCATAAGCACGGACCGGAGAATCACCTGGTAAAATTTTGTATAGCTAAATCAGTGCTCGAAAAAGCTTTCGAGATGTTAGAATCTCTAAAACTGTGGCGATTTTATTATAAACTGCTAGATAAATATAATATGATGATAAGAAATAATAAAATTTTGGAAACTAGAAAAGTTAATATATTTTAATAATAATATTTATAAAATAAATAATCGGAATAGTATTATTGGTAAATCATGATATTTAGCATACTATATTATATATATTTATTATACTATTTTAAATTGGTAAACATCTAAACCGATTAACTAATAATTTATACGCCTGATAAGTCCTTCCAGACGTTAGCGCCTAATACTTTCTTGAACACTGGATAAATTCATCAATCATCATATTTTTGTTCAAATTTATCATAAATGTGAAATATCAAAATAATACATATATTTATTAAATCGTCAAATACTGCAGATATGAGTAATTAATATTGCCTTCATTATTTTATATCACACACATCCTAACATGAATTCACACAGTCGATTGCCTTCTTCACGTCGATCTCTTTTTCTGCTTGTTACACATAAAAACAAAAATCACAAAGATATGTATGTTAGGAAAAAAATCATATCTGCTAAATGAATATAAATATAAATTTCTAGAAAATTTACGATTATTGTTAAAACTTACTCGGATCTTAAGCAGAAACACAACGAAGATTAACACAATCGATTTCACGTTGTTGCCCACATTCTTTTGTACACTTAGCAAAACATCCGAATTTATATCGTGCTGGACCAACGATACATATGTTAAAACAAATCTTGAAACATTTCTGAAAATTTTTGTTTATTTCTTCCGACTCAACTAGAAGGGTTCCGATCGTCAATATCATCACCATAAATACAACCGTTCTTTTCATCTCCACTAGGTGCGGGGACCCCGCGCAAGCGCGGGGTTGTTTACTTAGTCGTTGCGATTTGTGGATCATTGAAGAAGAAAGTGATGTATGTTTTCTTTGTGTTTATATTGGTGAAGTTGATTTACAGAGACTTAAATATTTAGAGCATGAGTCCGTGTCTTTGTGTTGGTCTTGTGGACGTCTTGTATAATAAGCCTTTTGGTGAGTGTGTTGTTGTGGTATTTAGTAGCTGATACTCCCAACATATTGTTTGATTTCTGAATATGTTATCGCTAATATAGCCAGCTGAAAGTTTTTTTAAATATGGTTGACTTCTGAATAATGAACTTGTTAAGATGCCTACATTATATATGAAATTGTACTGTTGATAACAATGAATTAAACTTTCTTATATATTCGAGTATTTGTCTATATTCAAAACAAAGTAATATCTTGTTAATATCTTGAAAAACATTAGGGTTTTATTTTTGAGATTTTGTTTTGAAATTCTACCATTCATTTACAAATTTAAGATTCAAAAGGAGGTTGTTGTTGACATTTCATTATATGTCCCACATAATCCAGAATGGCATGGGAGTTAGATTTATGAAGAATATGTAGGTTGAAAGTGGTGACGGGAAAAATGTGATTATTTTAGTCATCATCTTGGTTAATAAATGTATAAGTTAAATGGTTTTAGTTGCACACCTTTGACTCCATGTGCACTCACATGGTAGACATCTATCTAACGCTTACAACAAACTTGAGGACTTTTCTTCTAAATAAATGTTTTCATTTTTCTGATATAGTTATCGTTTCTTTAACCGCTGCTGAGAAAGTTTAGTATATTTAAATGTTATCTTCCTATAACTAAAGCTGCAATTCTTAGGCATTTACAAGTTCTTACAGACTATTATAACTGTGTAGATGTTTGGTTGTATTTGTTCTTCACAACCAAGCTTCGTCAACTCCCATAGCTCTCTTCGCCGCATCAACTGTGTAGCTGGCTGCTGCTGCTGAAGGTACAGTGGTTTGGGGTGAACCTGTATTGAGTGACATGAATCTGGGAAATGTAATCCTTCCCAGCTAGATCTTCAAGGCGTCTTGGTAGATCCAGCCCTCCACCGCCACTCATCTCTAGTAGGTTCGAGGTTTGAGAGGTGTTCAGATAGATTGTGACCATTTTAAACGTAGGAAAATAAAGTGTATGAGTTAAACTGTACCTCCTCAAACGCCAGAGTAGCTGCATCTTGCTTGATGAGCTTAGTAAACTCCCTTTTGAAGACCACAAATGTGGCACTATCTTTGACGTCATCAACTGCTAGTTCAACACAGACCCTGTAAAAAGAACCCGAGAAATTTGAATATATAGCTTAAGTAGGTTGTTCCATTAGATAGAAGTCAGGCTGTATACATGTGTCTTCACGGAGAGAACAGAGTTACAATTAAATAGTGATATTTTAAAGTTTCAAAGACCTAACGAAATCTGTCCTGCAAAATGATGGTATGAAAACCTATTTCAGTAAGGTTAACAAAAAGCCAAGAGTAAAGCAGCGCTATATAAACACATACCAAGCATCACTGGTCGATCCTCCACCCATGGAAAAGTAAATATCTTTTCTTGGATATTACCTTCCTGTAGTGAGGGAATCCGCCCTGCAATATCAGTAGAAACATCATAGCTTTACCTCCCTTGAGAAAGGACTCCACTGCTACTGTAAATCTCGCAAGCTTGAGCGTATGCAATACTACAGATCTAACCTGAAAGGAAATTCAGCTACGAAGTTCATAAGAAAAGTAAATATAGTTGAAATGGAGCTGGAAAATACCTCTTGGTATGAGATCAGGAGATAGCCACATGATAAAAGACCAAAGGTTGTGACCAATGAAGGATTTCTTTTAGATATCAATATACTAAACCCAGTTCCCATCTGCACATACATACAAAATAATCATTATACAGATGAAACATATATTTAGAACTCGAAATAAGATCAATAATTTATAATTTTCTTGGCAGATAAAAAAGGGTCATACCAAATCTCCAACGTTACCAACACACTCTCCCTTAGTAGTGACATCTCCTATGTTCTCTCCTTTAGCAAAGGCTTTATAGATAGGCATGTGAGTAGACGTTGATGTTACATCTGCAACATTGTTATAAAACAAACTATTAATAGCAAACGCAGAGAATATGAGTGTTAGAAACAATACCTTGACACATTAGCAACGCAAGCCAGAGACTGGTCATCATGTTGGTTCTGCGCAAAACGAAAAAGGAATAAAATAATATTTTATAGACTATATTGCTTATTATACACTAAGCAGCAGAGCGATTAAGCTAGAGGAGGAAGAAGTCACAAACCCCTGAGAATACGACTGTCGTAGACTACAGGAACAGAAGCATTTATTAACTTTATTCCACATGATGCGAAGTGTTTTCTCAAAGCCTCTTCAACATCCTTCCTAGGAGGGAAGGTGTCGTATCCCTCAACCACCATCATGCTAATGATGTTTCAAAGGATATTAATTAATTATCCTGACACAAGAATACATGATAAATCTTATAAGATATATACAAATCTCAAAAAGAAACGAACCTGCCAATCAATTCCAGATCTTCCAGACCATAAAGTAAAAAAGATCTAATCAGCTGTGAAGAAACAACTAATTCGAGAAACAGAAAGCGATGTTAATCACCATGGCGACTGCCCTAGGTTTCTCGCAGATTCTCCTAATGTTGTTGCAAAGAATTTTATTAATCACCATGAGACAAGAAGACATGATCAGCTACAAATCTCAAAAGGGAACCAACCTGCGTTTTCGAATCTCAGCATCACTACCGTTCAAATCCAGACCTTTAAGACCGTAAAGTACAAAAGATATAATCAGTCAATTCTACTACCATTAAATCGGAGACTTGTGGTGGTCGTTGCTGCTTCTTGTTGGTTTCTTTATTTGTGCTCGATTTCCACAGATTCTCGATCTGTGAATTTCATCAGTTCCCATCATTTTCTGTCTCAGGAAAGACATCGATCGTCGGAGTTGGTGGAAGAGAAGAAGAAACCTTAGCACTTTGGATCTGCAAAATGAAGTCCAACATCTAAAAAGCCCACTCGGTAGAGTTATAAATTATTAAAAAAATAAAAGCGGGTCCCACAAATTGCTTAGGTGGATAGCTTTAGGAGCTTAGAAAGTGAACTATTATATATAAGATTGCTTTTGGAATACAAATCTTTTTGTTTTGAGAAAGAGGAGGGAGCAAATTTATCTTTATAATGGACCTAGCATTTAGTTCTATGTTTTAGTATATAATCTTTATTATTAAAACAGAAACGTTTTGATACATCTAACATTTAGTCATATATTATACTATATAAAATGTCACTAATAATTAATGAAAATACTAGAACTTCACTACCATAATAATAGTACTAGATATGTTTCCAAGAAACTCAATAATTAAATTTGAGTCATGACAATATAAAACATTGAATCCCAATTTTTAATATTTTTTTAGTAAATAGTTTTCAAATTCTTTGATAAATAGAAAAATTTTAATGGGTCAGACATTTAGTCATATGCATTATTATATAAGCTCTTGTATAAAATATAAAATTTTAATGGTCGGAGGACAAAAAAAATATTTTAATGGTCCTAACCTTTAGTTAAATCTTATATTATATAAAATACCATTAATAATGAATGAAGACACTGTAACTTCATTAAGATATTTGTAGAAACAACATCAGATATGTTTCCAAATAAGTCAACAACTAAATTTGACTCCACATAATATAAAACATTGTATTCCATTTTTAAAATATTTTTTCTTAATTTTCTTTCAAATTATTTGATAAATCAAATAATTAACTAAATACTCAAATAATTTATGGAAAACGTATAACCGTTTTTTTTTTGAAGGTTTAGATATTACAAAATAATTTCAGTTACTATTAAATCAATTCTATTAGTATTTATTTTCAAAAATACTAAACTTCATTCATTTAATCTGAATAGGCATTCATATTAAATTAAATTATGTATATAAAAATATATTAGAGTAAGTAAAGAGACATCAAATAAGTTTATAATTAAATTTATAAAAACTAATAAATTATAAAAATTTCATAACGAAAGAGGTGTCATTTTTTAAGACTATGTTATATAAGTTCATATTAAATATATAACTATATACATCTCTCTGAAAGAATTCAGATCTCTCTTTCTTCACTCTAAGCTAGTCTCTTTGTATCCAAGTGTCTCTCTCAAAAATTTAATAAAATTGTCTAAAACACGATTTGACTTCTTTTACAATTAAGTAAATCTTCTAGGTCTTTCTGCAATATTTTCAAAGTTGACTTTTCTCATGAAACAAAAGGAGTGCCGAGCGATACTAATTTCAATTGTCTTCCAAAAAGTACTAAGACATGAATGATTCTATACATATATGATTCTAAAACAGACCTATATCGTAGTAAGAAGCCCGTAAAAACCATGATATATCAATCATGAGTTTTGAGGGTTGTGGTATTTATCTCTTCTTTATGTTATGAGTTTTGATTATCATCTCTTATTTAAATAAGCTATCAATTAAGTTCTACGGTATTTAGTTCCGAAAGAAATTAAATGATATTTTTTTTTATGTTCTGTTGCATTAATTTGATTCAGTTTGTCGATCCAAAAAGATAATCTCAAACGATTCAAATTCACTTGATTAGACAAGTCAGGTCTCTAAAATTACTTTCACTTGTAGATAATTTCTATAAAATTGTATAATGTCGCACATCCATTATTTGACGTATGGAAATTTATTATGTGTTTCATTCAATTCATATCATGCTTAAGGTTATATTTTTTACCAAATCAAGCTCAAACGTCTTTTGAATTTAATCATATTATTTTCCAATGTATGTTTCTCAGTAAAATATATATATTTAATGTAATCCTTGATCATACTATATTTAATGGTTATATGTTGGTGTAATGGCTTATGAATTAAATTTTATGATAATTTTTATAAAAATAAAATTAAGACAGAATTTAAAGTTTAGGGTATATGTTTTAAAAAAAAAAATTAGGGTATATGGTTTCATGCATATGTTTAACGTTGAAGGTTTTTTTATTAGGATTCATGATTTACTTTCTATGACTAAAAGTCTAAATTCAAGAGTAGAGTTAGGATTTAGAATATGAGTGAGGGTATATAATTTGAAGTTTGTTTTTAGGGTTTGGTGTTAAGATTTATAACATGTTAAATTGGTGTTATTTGTATATATTTTTGTATATATTATATTTTAAATGTAATTTTTTTTAATTTATATTATATTTTTAAATATAATTTATTAATTTTTATATATAAAATGTTTAAAATATTTGTATATAATTAGTGATTATATTTTGGTTATTATTTATGATTTTAACTACAGTAATTTAAAGTGTCGAGGGTTATCTTTTATTATTTAGGGTTTGGAGTTGGGGGATTATAATTTGAGATTTAGATTTAAAAAATGAGGTGAAGGTTTTTAAATTAGAATTGAAATTTCAAATGTTGTATGACTTAAAGTGTAAGTATATTATAGTAATTATAATTTATTACTTAAAGTGTAAGCTGTAATCTTTATAATTTTGGAGTTTAGGGTATGGTGGGTTTTGATTATTGATTTAAGATTAATGTTTGAATAAGATTAACTTTTAAGTGAATTTTAAGCATACAGTTTTTATAATAGTAACAAAATATAATAGTGTTTTATCTCACAATTTATGACTAAATTAAAAGTCACCACTCCAGTAACAAATTGAGATGATATATGATTACAAACTTAAGTTACTGTGGGTGACATTATGGAAGTCACGAAATTGTATCTAGTAGAGACGAGTTTTAGTCTCGATTCCATAACACTATTGTGACTAACCACTTCGTCACATATTTGTAACTTCTTGTAAAGGTTTTTGTTACTTATAAATTCATCACAATATTGTGACAAAATAGTTACAATTTTGGGACCAAAAAAACTTAGTTACTATCTCGTAAGTAAATAGTCACACTATTGTGACAAAACTTTTTGTCATAAAATTTAGTCACAATGTTCACATTCTTTTGTAGTGGAAGAACTTGGAATGCAATAATCTAAATAAATCAGTGCTCTAAAAAGTGTTTGAGGCGTAAGGATCTCTAAAACCATAGTGATTTTCTAATAAACCGCCTAGATAATATAATATGATGATAATAAATAATATATTTTTTGTAATTTATAGGAATTAATATATTTTAATATAAAATCTTACGATAATAACAAATATGAATAGTATTATTCGTAAATCATGATATTAACATATTATATTATATGTTATATATATGTATTGTTTTAATTGGTAAACATCTAAGCGATTAACTAATAATTTATATGTTCGATTAATTATTCCAGACGTTTGCGTTGAGTCAGCATATGCTTAGCGTCTAATGCTTTTTTGGACACTGGATAAATTCATCAATCAGCATATTTTTTGTTCAAAATTATTTATAAAATGGATATATCCAAATAATACATATATTTATTAAATCGTCAAATACTGCAAAATATGAGAAATTAATATTTCCTTTAGTATTTTATATCACGCATATCCGAACATGAATTCACACAGTCGTTTCCATTCTTCACGTTGATATCTTTTTCTACTCGTTACACATCCATATCAAAAAACGTTCAAATGGCTTAAAAATGAGTGGAATTTTAGATAAATCTACCTTTATAGAACACACAAAAATATATATTTAAAATTATTATATCAACCTTTAAATGAGTGAAAGATGAGAACCTTTTGATGAAAAACCTGCAAAAACAAGATAATTTAGTGAGAAATACATGAGAAAGAAATAATTGATATAAATTTTGGTGTTTATAAGTTAAAAGAGATTAGAGAGAGGTTGGAGATATTTAGAATGATAAACATTACATTTTTGTTGCAGCCATCTGAGAGGAGGAGAAAGAATGTGTAAATTTTTGTTTATATAGAGAGACAAAAAGATTTAATTAGGTTAAATATTTTTGATTCAGACGATTTCTTATACGACTTACTTGTAAGTCGTCCAGAAGATAGACGACTTACTTGTAAGTCGTACAGAAGATAGACGACTTACTTGTAAGTCATCCAAAAGACTTAATTTTTTAGCGGGAAACTAAAATAGAAGACTTCGTAGACGACTTACTATATAAAATTAACTAACTAAATACTTTGTAAAATCAAATTAAACTTACTAGTGTTTATTATACACAGAAATAAACACAATTTTATTTTTCAAAAAAAAAATTAGATTTTCAGTTTTAGTTTAGTAAGCAGTTTTTCTGAATAAAAATAATATTTAACCGGGAAAATAAATTTCGGCGGGAATATTTTGATTACTTACATGTGTCGTCTGGTTTAAATTATTCATCAGACGACTTACAAGTTAGTCGTCTATACCCTAAATATAACCCCTAAACTTAATTAACTAGCTAAACACTTCATAAAATTAAATTAAACTTAAAAATTGTTTACTATACATAGAAATAAACACATATAGGTAAATTTTTAATTTTTCAAAAAACATTTAAGCTTTCAAAAATCTAACCCTAAGAATACATAAAATACTACAACATATGTTTTCAAACCGTAAAAACAAAGAATATCATGATCAATTACTTTCACTCATCTATGTTGAAAACTATTCAATTTTACTATATATTATTTCATATCACTTAAAACTGATTATAATTACACGATCTTAATTTTTCACTTGTCAATTTTTTTTTAAAAAATTTAATTTTTAAGATCAACTACATCAGACGACTAATTTGGAAGTTGTTTAAACGACTTCTAGCATCTTAGACGACTTACTAGGGCTATATTAATAAAATGACTTCTGTTTTTTTATTTGGTCACAAAGGGCTGGCTTAATTTCACGAGACTTCTAGGTTAGTTTTGCATTTGATTCAAGTTTGGGTATAGATTTGCATTTAAAATCATGTTTTGAGTCATATTTGGCAAATTCTCCTAAAATCAACTATTTTATTATATAAAAGTATATACGCTAAAATAGAGAAATTTTAAAAAGAAAATTTTTAAAAAATTAATAACTGTATAAATTAATGAAATTTTAAAATCCCAATATTACCAATTTATAGATTTTTTACTGTACGTGCTAAATTTTGTTAGCATTTTAGTATCCAGATTTTTAAGTTACCTAGTTTAATATTAAAACTAATTATGTTGGTCATTTTAATACACAATTTTTTAAAAAAAAATCCATTTTAATACTCAAACTTTTTTTATTTTAATACAAATATTGATAATTTTAAACAAAATTTAAAAGTTCTCTAAGATTTACAAAACAATCTCAGAAAATTTTGTGATCAAGAAATAAAAGTCACTAAATTGTGTATAGTCTTAAATTTTGTAATAAATGTTTTAAGTGTTAATTATTGAATCTATTTTATTTTCTGAAATATTATTTTCTTCATTGTTTATTTACTTTCTTTCCTAAATAATAATAAAAAATTAGAATGTTTTAATATTTTTTATATTTTTGAGATTTTTTTAATTTTGTTTGAAATTTATTAGTATTTTTAATTAAAATAAATAAAATTTGAGTATGAAAGAGGCACGTTTTAAAAGCCTATATGTTAATATGAACAAAATATTTAGTTACGATATTAAATTGGATAATGAAAAGGTTTGAATCGTAAAAAACTTAACAAATTTTATGTGGAGTATTCTTATGGAATTTTCCTTATTTTTATAGACATAAAATATTTCATGAACAATAGCTTGACGTATTAAAAAAAAATTATTTGAAAATATAAAACAATAATATAAGTAAAAAGGTATAGCTTCAACCTATAAAAACCAAGCTAGATAGTACTGTAGATATAGCTTCAACCTATAAAAAAATATACCTTTTGGTTCAACACATGTACAACATTAATTAAGATAGTACTGTAGATAGAGCTTCAACCTATAAAAAATGCACTTATACCTTTTGGTACAGAAAAAAATATACTGGAAAATATAAGTAAAAAGGTATAGATTTAACCTATAAAAAAATACACTTATACCTTTTGGTTCAACACATGTACAACACTAATTAAGATAGTACTCTAGATATAGCTTCAACCTATAAAAAACCAAGCTATATTTTTATTCAGATAATTTAAAATAAAAATAAAACATTTTAATTTTTTTACTTTAAATTTGGATTTTTTAAAAAAAATTAAGACATATTAATATTTTAATTATAATAAACACAATCTGAATATTAAAAGAACATAATTTTTGAAACTATTATTAAAATGAATAAAATAATTAGTTAAAATATTAAACTATATAATAAAAAATTGCATATTAAAATTTAACAAAATTTAATTAGAGTATGTTTATGAAAAAAAATCCCCATATTAAAATTTTAACAAAATTTAATTAGAGTATTTTTTATGAAAAAAAATTCTCAGGATAAACCTAAAAAGTTTGTGTCACAAATATAAACCTTAAAAATAAAACTGATCAAAATATACTTCAATATTCTATAAAAAATACACTTATACATTTTGATTTAACTAATTCTAGAAATTTTTTTTTAGAGTTGAGCAGTGGAGTTTGAGGATATGATTTATTTTTTTTAAAAAAATACTTAAACTTTTCAAAATTAAAAAATGCTATTTTGATCATTTTAATTTTGAAGTCTATTTTCATTTTTGTGATAAAAATTAAAAAGTTATTTGAGAGAATTGAACTATTTTTATTGAACTTTCCATATTATTTTGAATTGCCAATGGGCCAAAAAAAAATACTAATGTTAAAAAGAATTTGTTAATTACCCAAGGAAAAAAAAAACGAGTTTCTCTAAATTAGCTTAATTTGTTGTTTATTACCAGTTGGAGAATCTCCGAATCTTTCTTCCCCAAGTCCTCCAGAGTCTCTCAACTAATCTCTATCTCTCTCTCTCTCTGAATGTCGCAGAGAGAGTAAATTTAAAAAAGCTAAAGCAACCTTCTCTTCTCTTCTCTTCTCTTCTCTTCTCTTCTCTCATGGAGTCTCTCATATCATCAAACCCTTCCTTCTCTTCTTTCTCAAAAAGCTTATCCCTTTACCCTTCTTCTCCTCTCTCCTTCCTTAACCTACCTTCTATCCACAAGTCCCAAGCTCCCAAATGCTGTAAACCATCCTCCAATCCTCAACCTGATCGCAACGCCGCAAAGCTAAACCCTTTCTCCGTATTACGCCCAATCATCAGAACATTCAAAGGTTTGGTCTTGTCCCAGTCCCGGCAATGGACGTCACGTTTCCGAGCCTACAGGGACGATACGGCGGCGTTTTCAGAACATTTCGCCGGAGATTTGAAGGAGAACGGTGGTTTAGGGATTGCCCTTTTGAGCGTTACGGCTTCTGCGAAAGTAAAGATTAGTCCTTTCGTGGCGACGCTGTCGGCGAATCCGACGTTTGTGTCGGCGGTGTTCGCGTGGCTATTTGCGCAGACGAGTAAAATGGTTATTAATTTCTTCATTGAGAGGAAGTGGGATTTGAGTTTGTTGTTTGCTTCTGGTGGGATGCCTTCTTCGCATTCGGCTTTGTGTATGGCTTTGACGACTTCTGTGGCGCTTGTTCATGGAGTTGCGGACTCGTTGTTTCCTGTTTGTTTGGGGTTTAGTTTGATTGTTATGTATGATGCTATTGGTGTTAGACGTCATGCCGGTATGCAAGCTGAGGTAATGGAGATGCTTTTGAGTGAGTTTGATTGACTTTGGTCTTAGTAAATGCTTTGTCTGTTGTAGAAGTTTGAGTAGGTTTTCATGTGAGACACATTGATGACTAAGTATACTTTTTGATGGATTCAACTCAAGGCTCTTTATTTCATATGGTTGAATGCCTTTCTGATAGTATAATTATTAGGTTCTTGAAGTGCTTGTGAATGCTTCATGTAAAATTTGGTTTACTTGAGAGGTTGTTGCATTAATGTTCACAATCAAAATTCATCACTAGATATGGAACTTTGGTAATTTAGGCTAAGGTTGCTGTGTGTTCTTGGTTCTTCAGTGACCTTTTGTGCTCCGAAGAAAGATTCCAGAGCATAGGGTTTTACATTGTTGAGCACAATATAATTTTCTGGAGTTGTGGACATTAGGCACATGTTAGTGATAGCTGTTTTTGGTTTTAGAATCACTTGTCTTATCTTTGATTACATTCCAAGAGAATGAAGAGTTTTGAAAGAGCATTGTACCAAGTGGTAATTTTGTTTATGACTGTTGTTTTTGTTGATCATGTCAGGTACTGAACTTGATCATAAGGGACTTGTTCGAAGGACATCCCATCAGTCAAAGAAAGCTAAAAGAATTGCTCGGTCACACTCCTTCACAGGTTCTTGCAGGAGCGTTAGTTGGTATTGTGATTGCCTGCTATTGTTGCCAAGGCTATCTCGTCTCTGCCTAAGATCTTCTTAACTCATAAGTTTTATGATTGGTTTTACGGTGCAAGTTCTGCATTAGCTGAAAAACTATTTGCTTTGAGTACGGCTTAGTATCGATTTGGCTAAGATCTGAGCTTGTATCATATGTTGTGATCACTAATAGAGAAAACTGGTGCTTTTACTTAAATGTTTATTTTTTGTAATCTCTAGAATATACAATGAGAGAGCTTCATTTCATTTCACTACATCGTTTCAAATAGTTCCGTTCTTCCATTGTTATGATATGCTTTCTACAAAACAATATAGACTTAAAGGATGAACAAAATCAAGACAACCTGGAAAACAGAAACTTAATTCTCTTTTAAGGCACTGAAATATCAGTCTGCTTTCACTTATGTTGGTAGGCTCTTTGGCTTGGCTCCTCAGCTACTTTCCTTGTTAGAGTTTTTCAGAGCCCGCTTCAAACGTTTTGTTCTTGGTCCGCTAGGTTTAGTCTTGAGGTTAAAGACACCTTTCATCAACGAGCTTATATCCACAGATCGCTCTCCCATGATCTTATCATGATACATCTTGCTTCCTATCTCACAAATCTGTTCCTCTACTTCCTCTAATGGCTCATCTATATTCAACTTTAGTTCTCCTTTCCTAATAACCGTTACACCAAACCCATTCGCCTTGGCTTCTCGAAATGTATCCTGTATATATGTTAAACATATCAACTTTAAAATTGACAAGAGAATAGATGTACTAAAAGTTTCTTACTAAAGTGAAATTGTTTACCTTTGGTGGGCGGGGTACAATGAAAACGTTTCCAGTTCTAAGCATATCCAAATGAGCTTGAATAATGTAACAGAGGTTTTTACAGTCTGCAGCGTTCTCGAAAGCAATCACATGATGTGGTTTCGGTTCTAACTCGAGATCTTTTGCCATTTCTAATGTGTAGAACCCTACTTGTTGATCTCCTTTTTCATCAACCGTGTACATTTCAAGACACTGAAACAGACGAAAAGAAGATTATATTTTTGAAGGACTTTGAGTTTCTCAAATGTTTTAAAGGAAAACATACCAGTACATGCGGAAGATCCAACCACCATAGATAATCTTCTTCCTTGTCTTCTCCATACTCGCGGTATTTGCTCAAAACTGCTTGAGGACCAAACAACTCCATCTCTCTCTTGACCTTGTTGAGTTTCTTTTCCATGAACTCCTTGTTCCTCTCTGGCAGCTTCTCCATTATATCAGCAACGTCTTTGATTTCGTCTTCTGTAATCCATCTGTCCAAGTCTTTTCCCATGTCTCTCATAACAGCTTTCACTTCTGGATCAGTCTCTGCATTGTACAACTCCAAGAACCCGGGTGACCATTTCTTCGTGTGTTGCCAAAACTCTTTTCCTGACTTTTTCCCAGGTTTAACAGATCCGTCACTTCCTTCTACAACAATCTTGGGATGGCTTGAGGTAACTTCAGATGAAGAAGTGAGAGTGTTCTCAGAGGAAGAAGACTGTGATGCTTCTTGAAGAGAGCTCTGTTCTTCCTTTTTCACAGGAGACAGAGACTCAGCCTTTTTAGAAAACAATGCCTCTCGCTGCTCATTATAGTTATTGAGAAACTCAGGGTTCTTCTCAAGTGGAGGCCCTTTCCATCTCGGTATGACTTTCTCTGGCGGATCATACACACTAATGCCATCTGAATGATAAGCGGAATGAATATAAGTGAGATAATGATAAGCATATATAGACATGAGCGACCTTGTTGCAAGTCAAGGTGATAGTCATTACCTATGCCATAGTCGAGATTTTCAACGTTTGAGTGAATCCACTGATGCAAATGAGACAGTTTCTCATTTTCTTTTTCAACTTTCTTCTCCAAGCCTTGCAAAAACATAGCTTTGTCTTCGGCATTAATCAAGTGAAATGGATCTCTACCAGCCAGCTCATTATCCCGAACATGGAAGACAATGTCTCTTAGCTTTTCGTCCTTCATCCACTCAAGCTCATCGTTATCCTGATTGCGGTAAATTTCTGCAATTTCAGCAATAGTACCTGGCTCCTGAGTTTCTTTCTCTCTTGCAGCCATGTAGTTATCTCTAAACCCAGCTCTCATTTTCTCAGCAATAGGTTCAAGTTCATGGTAGTTTTTCTCCATCCAGTTTTCCTTCCCTGATGGTTGTTCCGTCTCTATATGTTCAGTATCACGAGAAGAACTTTCAACTGACTCGAATTTTTTTGTTTCACGTTCTTCTATTTTGTTTGCAGAACTTCCTTGCTTACCGGGTGCATCTACTCTATCCTCAGGTTCTGAAAATTTCTCGTGATCATCCTTGCCTAACGGTTCAGAAGACATAGACTCAAGCGTAGATTTCAACGTTCCATTGCCTGCATTTTTGGCAACCAATTTGCGTCTTCTAGCTGGATTACGCTTTTCATCACTCTGCTTTGGGATGATTTCATCACTGTCTTGAGCCATCTTCTGAGTAAACTCTTCCTCACCACTTTTTCTTGAAAGGAACTCTTTAGCCTCTCGAACAGACCGTATGACCCTTGACTTGCGACCAGTGCTATTCTTCATCATACTTATTTCATCCTTAGAAACATCTGAAGATTGATGGATGATTCCGTCCGTAGGAGCTAGTGGTACCTCATTACTCACCTTTTCTACCTCAGATGCTGCAATGTCATGACTCGGAAAACCAGAATCCACCAGAGCACCATTCACCACTGGAATACTCAAACTAGAAAGTTCAGTGTTTTCTTTATCACTTTCAGTCCAAGTCCCCAAGCTTTCATCTTTATCATCATCATCTTCACTATGTCGAAGACTGTTCTGTGACCGCATGTTTATACCTTCTTCATCCTCGCCCGTTTCTTTGTTCACATCTTGCTTCTCCTTTTCATTAAGTTCAACACCAGCTTCTATCTCCCTAGCTCGTCTAGCCATTGCTTTGATTTCATGAATCTTATTATCAAACTCCACATACTCACCACCCTCAACCTCATTAGAATTCAAGACTCCCAATCTCTTCTCTGAACCCTTTACTTTAGATATACTACTCATAAGCTCTTCACGATCAAACCTAGGCTTCTCAAACAACACCAATGGCTTCTCCACCTCTTGCAAAACTTCCACATCACCTTTCTCAACCACTTCCTTCTCCTTCCAAGCTTTCATCTTTCTCCTCATCATCTCCTTCTCCAACTCACTACACTCAACCACATCCCTCTTCCTATACACAAACACAGTCTTCAACAACCATAACCCTATATAACCACACAAAACAGCTCTCCCAATCGCCGGCAACTTAGGAACTAAGTCAAGACGACTAACAGCGTTTTGTATTGAGCTAACAAACTTAACCTCCTCTTCCTTATTAGAAGAAGAAGAAGAAACAAACTTAACTAGAGAACTATCCTTATGTATAACATCTTCTCCATTCTCCATCCGTTCAGCTAACTCCTTAGCATACACAACCTTATCCCTCACTGATTCCAAACCCTCAAGAGACGATCTTCTACTAAAGACTTCGTCTTCATCAACATCTACTCTCTCTACCTTCCCAAGTGAATCTTTATACACTGTGAAAATGGGATCGGAACCAATCCCCCAATACTCTGCTTCCTTCTTATACCGTGCAACCCAATCTTCAAGCTCATTAAGCAAATTCGAATCCGGAAAAATCTTATCTTTACTACTTAACTCTATGGCTAAGTCATCATTTTGATCGAGGTTTTGGGTTTTCGGACCTGGGTCAGAAGGAATACGGAAACTCTCGTCGCCGATGATCTTCTTCCTCAGTGAGTTACGTCGTCTTGAGGGCTCTCCGAAACGAGACGAGACTCGGAGGATTGAGGCGCGGTGGTAGGAGAATTTGGAGGTGGGTGAGTTGAATCGATGTTGGGTTCTCTTGCTAGAATTGGAGGATAAAGATGGGAAATTGAAGAAGTGGTTTGGGAGAGTTGAGTTTAGAAGAACCTCCATTGATGTGGAAAAGGGATTATCCCTTTTGAAATGAAGATGTCAAAAAACCTCAGAGCTGGGTTTAGCAGAGTACAGAGACTAAACGTTGTCGTTTACACACAACTACTGCCTACAGTGCTTCCAAAAAAGAAAAAAATCTACTGCCTACTCCAAACCAAAAACAAAAAAAAATCCATACTCCACCGAGCTGTAAAAATGCAGCATTTGTTGGATATTGGATATTATCCTAGCTCGATTTAAACTTCAATGGATATCCAAATAAAAATTAATTGAATTGAAATACAAATTAATTAATATTATAATAAGCATTTAAATTTTTCATGAATATTTAATTGATTCGAAGATAAAAGAACATGAATTAGATATGTAACCGATCCCACAATGAATTTTAAATCCAAAATTAGTTTTGTAGAGAGATGAAATCTGTCTGAACCCGAAGTATAGTTATCTGATATCAAAACATATATAAATGAAACTAGGGCTGGGCAAAAAACCCGGATCCGAAGAACCAAACCAAACCCGATCCGAAAAAGTAGTATCGAATCCGAACCGAAATTGATTCAATATCCGAATGGGTTCAAAATTTTGGTATTTAACGAACCGAAACCAAACCCGACCCAAACCGAAGTATTTCGGGTACCCGAATATATCCGAAAGAGATTTATATACCTATATATATTAGTTGTTTTTAGATTTAATGTATATATAAAAAACATTCAATATATATAAAATACGTTGTAGTTGTTCAAAATACTTGTAAATATATGTAAATAGTCAAACATACATGTCTAAAATT